TAAAATAAAATGCAGTTTCATATGAAACCGATTTTTAAAATGTGGAGCGGTTTAGTTCTTTTGGACATTTTACACATCCCTACTTTTTATATAGGGATTACCTTAATTTAGTCATGTTTTGGGATAAAAGAAAGAACAAGTGAAATAGTATTATTATTTTCAAATATTTTTTTAAACAGAAAAATTAGTATCAATCAATGTGGATAATTTTAAATAGCTCTTTAAACAATTTAAAAAATATTTTTAAATTTTTTAGTACTGTGATAAATATTTTCTTAAAAAATAAATTGACACGCGTGAAAAGTTTATAATAATGATGTTATTTTAAAGTTAACTTATTTTTTAAATGTATAAATAAAAATCTATTTAGTTTTTAAAGATTTAAAATCACAATGTATTTTAAATTAAATTGTGAACGAATATAATTGCATTTTATGAAGAAATTCATTTTAAAATAACCTTATTCAATAATAATAATAATGATGAAAAAGAAAAAGGAGGTCGAGGGAGGATAACAATTATAAGTCATTGACCTTCTTCAGGGAAATTTTTTCAAAACATGATGTATATCTACTTTGGTATATCTTTTTTCCAAATAGGGAAAATATTTTTCTATTTATACTCTTGTTTTTTTTTTATTATTCCCACTAAATTCTAAAAACTTTATCCATTAGATAAAAATATACCAACATATGATGTACCCAAAGTTTTCTCCTTCTTCAGATGCAAATAAGATGTGTCCAGTATTCAACAAATAAATGTTGAATATCAAAATAAGAGCTTACATTCCACCTACCTCCATGACTTTTTTCTTCTTTTATCCTAATCAATATATTTCTTTCTCCTTATCTTGCAAGAAAAACACAACCATAAGTTGGTGCACTTTTCGTTGCCCTTTAATTGCTGCGGGTTTGTTCTGAATCTTACTCTAACTTTCCCTTCTCTCTCTTTGTTGGAAGGGCAATCGAATGAAGAATAAGTAAGGTCAAATCTAACATAATTATGCTTCCCCATTTTTTTGGGGTACTAGGCTTCCCCGTTTCTAGTAACGTATCAGCAATCTTGTTTATCAAATCCTATTTATCTAAATACAATTAAATCCAAAGTTGGAATTCTGGTTCAGCTGATAAAATTTACGTATTTGTTTGAGAGGATTGTTATATTTACAACTTAAATATTTTATAATCTTTTTGAACTTATTTTTTCACCGTTGATTTTTGTTAATTCAACGGTTATGATTTATTAAAAATTAAAAATTAAAAATAAATGTGACCCGATAAATTCTAACAGTTAGATTAACGGAAATCAACGGTAAAAAAATAAATTATAAGAAGTTGTAAAACTTTTAGGTTGTAAATATAACGCTCATGTTTGTTGGATCAAAGAATCAAATGCTTTTCTATCTCATAAACACCCATATTTGCAATCACTTATCTTATCGTTTTAAAAGTAAAAATTTATTCATCTGAAAAAAAGTAAAACTTTATTATTAGACTGCAATGAAGTGAATACAGTAGCAGAGAAACCCTTTACCAATCGAACTAAAACAATAATAATAGTAAAACATATAGTTACAAATAATTTGTTTTGGTCTAGAAGAGTATGACACTTTAATTTGTTCAGAATTTTTCAAACAGTTTAAACAGAGTATGAAATATTTTTCTAGGTGCAAGAATCAGGTCACATTACTATTTTCTTTTCTTTTGAAAACGAAAACCATTAAAATAAATTTTTTAAAACTGATTTTTCTTTTGAAAAAGAAAACCATTAAAATAAATTTTTTAAAAAGATGAATCAGTTCAGACTTAAGAGCACAATAATTGAAGTGAAAAACAAAGAAATTAAAGAAAGGGTTTACTTTTTCTGCAGTTACTGCAGATAAGTTATCTGCAGTAAGCCCGATACGATGTCGTTTTGGGGCGAAAATCATAGTGTTTTTGTAATTTTAATTTATTTCAGGATTATTATAGTCTTTATAATTATAATTTTTAATATTTCAATCCCAAAATAACATCGTTTTGAGAGTAAATATAGATAACTTATCTGCAGTAACAACAAAAATATTTTTCTGTTAAAGAAATCTCATTATTTTGAAAAACAGAACTCGGAACAAAAACTTTTTGCGTTGGAAACTTGTAATTCATTATTCGGGGCTTGTTTGTTTGAGATTTTTTTAAAAGGTATTTTAATTAAAAACATATTTAAATAAATTCTAAAGTAATTTATTAACATTTTATTTTGACTGGGTTTGTTTTTATTTTTTAAATTATAAAAATTGTAAATAACTAATTCAACGCAAAAGTTAATGTGTTAATTTTTTAATGGTTTACATTATTCTCTAAAGTCTGATACTATTGTAAAGAATTAATTCAACTCAAAACCTCAAGGTATTAGGTGATGACATTTTTAATAATTTATATTATTCTCTAACAAAAATAAAAAGGAAAAGAACAAATAATATTAAAAATAAGAAGAAAAAAAAGCTTTCAAAAATCCCACTCTGGAATTTTTTTTGTAAATTGACTCGTAGCTTTTAAAATATTATATATATATGGGGCAGGATATTCTTACACCGGTGTAAGAATTAGAAGTCTTACATTCAATCTTATCCATTGATCCACTTGTATCTAATGACTCACGTTACTAAAAATTTTGATCCCTTAGATATAAGTGAGATTAACGGATAAGATTAAGAGTGTAACTTACACTGGTGTAAAATGATCCTGATATATATATATATATATATATATATATATATATATATATATATATATATATATATATATATATATATATATATATATATATATAGGATCATCTTATACCGGTGTAAGAGTTAGAAGTCTTACACTCAATCTTGACCATTGATCCACTTGTATCTAGTAGCTCATATTACTAAAAAATTTGAGTCCTTAGATATAAGTGAAATCAACGGACAAGATTAAGAGTGTAACTTACACTGGTGTAAAATGATCCTTACCCATATATATATATATATATGGGGCAGGTTATATTTACAAATTTTTTTATTTACAAACTCTTAAACTACACTATCTTCTCTCGGGAGAACACTCATTACACTATGTTCTCCCGGAAGAACATAGCGTAATTTGTAAAAATTTTCAAAAAAAATTTGTAAACGGATCCTTCCCCTATATATATATATACGTGGAAGGATTATATTTACAAATTTTTTGTTTACAAACTATACTATGTAATCTCAAAAATACACTAGATTACACTATGTACTTCCGAAAATACATAGTGTAACTTGTAAAAATTTGTAAACGAATCATTGCCTATATATATCTTTTGTAATTTAAATGCATATGTGTTGAAAGTTAAATATTTTCCCAAAATTGCTTATTCAAGTATTGAATTTTCGATTCGGGCACCCCTTTAAAGCATTTTTAAGTCCCGATCAGAGAATTTTTTTTTTCTTAATCCTGATTTTGTCTTATATAAGAAACTCATTCTTATGTGTTTGATCATCAAAGAAAAGTAGAAAAAGTAAACACTAAGCCTTAGTAAATTTTTTTCAAAAAAAAAATTAAGTGACTTTTCACAACTTGCAAATTTTTAAAAGGACTCTAGGCGACAGTCAAATTTCCGCAACTTCGAAATTTTTAAAGGTATTATGTGCGACAGTCAAGCTATAATTGAATTCTCATATTTATTTGTAAATTTCTCATGATTTTAGTTTTATTTTATTATTACTTTTATTTTTTAAGGAATAAAGTAAATATTATTTTAAAATTACCAATACTTTGCTAAAAAAAAAGTGCAATTAAGTTTTCACTCTTCCCTCATCGTAATTAAAATTCCGGGAATTTGATATTGTTTTTCAAATCAATTTACAAAATAAAAGAGCTTTTAATTTTTTCTAATTTTAATAAAATAGGCAGTAGCTTCCTTTTTTAATTAATTTTTAAAATAAATTTTGAGTCATTATATAATTAAACATATTTTAAAATAAAAGAAAAATAATTAGTATTTTTATAAATAAAAAAAGTAAATTATGAAAAATATTTTGTTATAATTTCCCCCCCAAACTCATCGAGACAGACCCTATATTCATGTAAAAATAATCACATTCTACATACCAAAAAAAAAAAAATCACATTTTTATAATTAAAGAAGCATATAAAAACTAAAACAAACATTCATGCTCTCCACCGCAGAGTAAATTAGTTTGATTACCAAAAAAATAAAATAAATTAGTTTCATCCCCAAATAGATGGTGACAGCCCTAAAAAATAACAGGGTTTAATTTTTTTATAGTTGTTGTAGAAAAATTTATCTCTCACTCTCACAAAAAAAAAGGGTTAAGTTCCATGTAATAGAGCTCATTTAAAACAACTTGTTTATATACTCGAGGGAGATTATATTTACAATTTTTTTCATTTACAATCTCTTATAACTCAATTTTAACCGTTGATTTTCGTCAATCTAATCGTTATAATTTATTAAGTTATAATTATTAAATTCTAATAAATTATAATCATGAAATCGACAAAAATTAACAAATAAGATTAAGTTGTAAGAGGTTATTAGCGAATTTTTTTTATAAATATAACTTTTCATATACTTTGGGAAGTATATTATGTGTGTTAGATAAAAATTTCTGTATCATCTGCAAAAATATTTTTTCCAAAATAATAATATTATTATGCAATTCTAAACCCTAAAGTGTAGTCATCATGCTTATGATTCTACTACAAACAGGAAACATTTAATTAAATAAAAGGAAAAGAATGCGTAATAGCTAAAGTTGAACTAGTACGAAGTCTAGTCGAATCTCCACCATATTGACAATGTGTTGTTTGCAATTTTTTAACCAATCATTTTGTGGAGCACTTACTTGCACACATCTTTTGTAAAAGAAAAAAAAGAAAGAAAGTATTATTGGGCACAGTTATCCGCGAATATGATCGAAGTGAACTGAATAGAGAGCATTAAAAGGTGGGTGCAGACTGCGAAGTAGAGAGAGATCAAGATGAGGGTGGTTGCACATGAAAGTGAGTTTTTGCCACTTTCACTTCAAAGCCATTTGTCTTTGTCTTCTAGTTGAAATTCACAAAGGACAAAGGAAGAGAGAGACCTTGTTTGCTTCATATAGCAAAAGGGAGACCTCAAAGGAACCATTATTTTTTTTCCAACTTGTTCATTCTATATGCCATTTCTGAGCAGTTCACCACATACACACAACTCATGCCACCATCACTTCAATTTGGGACTCCTCAATACACACACAAACATAGAGACAAAGAGAGAAAAGAGGAAGAAGAAGAAGAAAGAGAAACCCAAGTTGGTTGTTTTTCCCACCACCAAGTTCACCTTTTTCCTTTTAATTTTTTCTGGGGCTGTGAAATCCTTATGACCCTCTCTCTTCTGCTTAAGTGGGTCATGTTTTGTGGACCCTACCCTCCCACTTGCTGCTAGTCTCTCTCTGTTGTCTTAGCCTCTGCTTAGCTGCCCTTTAATGTTCTGTTGAAAAACTCTCTTGTCTCTTCCATTTTTGTGCTCTGCTTCCTTCCTTGTATAGAAAGAAAGATCCATTTTTTCTCCTTATGGCTGCTCAGTGATTTTGGTTTTCCTGCTTCCTAAAGTTGATGTGTGCTATGAGATTTCTGTTTGTGTTTTTATTGGATGTTTCACTGTTGTCTGGTGAATAGGAAACTGCTCCATTTCAATTCAAGCATCCGGATCCCCTTGATTGGGAAATTCGTAAAGGTTGTTCCTTGAAACGGTTTATATGGTGTTCTCTGGATTTGATTGTTTTGGTTTCTGGGTTTAGGAGCTGTTTGCCAAAAAGGTGTTCTTTGGTTAATTTTCTAGCTACTGATACCGTTCTCTGAGACTGAGATTCATGCTTGGCCCAATAACACAATGGAGAGGTTTCCACTTCTTTAGCATTCAGTATTTTAGCTCAGTGAAAAGATATGAAGAACATTCTTAAGAAGCTTCATATCATGTCTAATCAATCAGAAGGTGCACAAGGGTCTACTTCATCAAAGAGCAACAAGTCCAATGATGGTTCTTCTTCATCTCCTACCCATAAGAAGCTTTCGAGTTGGTTGCATTCAGTTTCTAATTGGCAGAGTCCAAGTCCTCCGTCTCCTAACCTGGCCACAGGAGAAAGAATGGAGCCATCTGATTCAACGAGCAGTGGTGGTTTAGATGTTGTTTCTGATTCAGCGAGGCGTGATTCAGGGTCTAGCACTTCGAGGGATCCTGAAGTGGAAGAAGAATATCAGATACAATTGGCTTTAGAGCTGAGTGCAAAGGAGGATCCTGAGGCTGTGCAGATTGAAGCTGTTAAGCAGATCAGTTTGGGATCTTGTGACCCTGATAATACACCAGCTGAAGTTGTGGCCTACCGATACTGGGTAAGTCACTTTATTAGTTCATTGACTTAAGGTTGAAGTCACATTCTTGTTTTATTTGTGATGGTGCTGCCAGAGGTAAAGAATTATTGTGTCACTATTACAAAAAAGAGATATACAAGGCTTACAGATTTTTGAAAGGAACTTCTGATACAGAGATGGTGCTTCATTTGCATAATCTGAATCTTGGAGTTGTAATTAAGTGTAAAAAACAAGAGAAGTGTGGATTAGGAGAGGAAATGATCTGGGATGGATAGCAAATCATGATCATTGGTATAATTTTACCATTGTTAAATATATCAATAGCATTCTGAACAATGTATTTAGGTTGGAAATTCCAATATCACTCAGCTTCATTTGCTCATAAAACTGTTTGGTGTTTTATAATGACTAGGATTTCAGTCATATACATTGAAAAGGGATGCTGAAGTTACTTGCAGCTGTGATGCATTGTGTACTTGCATTTTAGGTCTTTCTGCATTGCCTTAAATGTCGTTTTACGTCAAGGGCAGCCTTCCTTCCTTTAAAGATTTTGTGATTGCTTTGATAAAATAAGGAGTATCATATTTTTCAGAAAACAAATTTTAATTATTTAGATTTGAATTAGTCTGAACTCAGAAGGCATACTTACCCCCTTATGATCTGTCTAGCCTTGTATGCTATGCTGGGCTGGTTTCCCCAAAATCTATAGTTTTAGGATTATTATTTAAAATGGTATTTAACCTTGTTATAAGATTTTAGGCTTGTAATCTTGGTTTACCCCTTTATGGAAATAATTCTGGATATTTTCTCTGTTTGGCTTCAAATGCAGTTTTTGGTTCTTCACATCAGGAGGATTAGGGTTCACTTACATCGCTCTATATTGTTTGGATTGTTTCAGACAATCCATTTATTGAACCGTCCTGACATTAAATTACTTATTCCTATATGTCACTTGGTTACTTAACTAATTTATTTTGTCCTATTTTATTTTTCTTTCTAACTTATATGGTAGATTTATCTGTGCTTCACAGAATTACAATGCTCTTGGTTATGATGACAAGATCTCAGATGGTTTTTATGATCTGTATGGGATCTTAACTGAATCAACCTCGGCAAGAATGCCTTCTCTTGTAGATTTGCAAGGAACACCAACGTCAGATGGCGTCACATGGGAAGCAGTCTTGGTCAATAGGGCTGCTGATTCCAATTTGTTGAAACTTGAGCAAAAAGCCCTGGAGCTGGCAGTCAAGTCAAGAAAAGATTCTGAGGTAGTCGGAGATATTAATTTGGTACGCAAGCTTGCAATACAAGTGGCTGACTATATGGGTGGATCAGTTGAAGATCCTGAAAGCATGTTAAGAGCATGGAGGAGTCTTAGTTATAGTCTGAAAGCAACACTTGGTAGCATGGTTTTGCCACTTGGTTCACTGACCATTGGATTGGCTCGGCATCGTGCATTATTATTTAAGGTTCTTGCTCCAACATTTTTTTTTTTTCTGGTTTGCATTTCAATTTAGAATGATCTCATACATTGGTTGATGTAAGCCTCTAGTAACATTAATTATGGTTATATTTACACCCAAACAAAATTCTTATGTAATAATAGAAAATGAGCAATCATGACCCCTATATGCTATACGATTTCCTTATACTCATTTGAAAAACTTCTATGATTCATGTAAGAACAAAATTATATTGCTCTGCATTAAATGTAGGTTTTAGCTGATAGTTTGGGCATCCCATGTCGGTTGGTTAAAGGACTACAATATACAGGTTCCGATGATGTGGCAATGAACTTTGTCAAGATTGATGATGGAAGGTAACCACTGTTAAATTTGTATGTTGGTGGTATAGGCAAGTGAGCAGAATTGTTTTGTTTATATATAGTTCTCTCCTTATGTATATTGAAACAAAATTGTTATGCAAATAACAATAGCTTTACATGATTTCTTTCATCAATACTCAGTTTGAGTAGAATAAACATGAAATGTTGTTACTCAATGCTTCTTTCGTCTTGTATTGTTCCAGACTCGAAGATGTACTTTAGTACTAGTGTCTTTTGTTTTGGTTTGCCTTTCCTGTTGTAGCATTTTGTTCTTTTTTCAACTAATTGTTTAAAATTGCTTGTAGCTGAATGTTCTCTCATAATTCTTCCTGTAACCTTCTTAAGTTGGAGTTGCAAAGCCTTGTTATTATGTTTCTGTAAGTTGTGATTGATATAAATTTCAGGGAGTACATTGTTGACCTAATGGCAGCTCCTGGAATCCTTATTCCATCTGATGCAACTGGATCACATATCGAGTACGATGAATCTTCTTTTGTAGCCAGTCCTTCATCAAGGGATCTTGATTCATCTCATATAGCATCATTCAGTAGCGGGGTTGGAAGTTCTGAAGAAACTTCAGACTTTGGGACTGTGGATAAAGGAAATAGATCAAAACATTTTGCCTATGCAGGGAAAGAATCTGATGCAAGCAGGCCCGCTACAGGCAAGGAAGAATTAAAGAAACCACTAAATGAATTCAAAAATAGCCCCAATGCAGAGATCATAACGGAGGAATCTCCTAGCAGACCTAATTATCCATATATACATGGAAGATTTCCTTCTTGGACTGAAGGGATCAGTTCCCCTGCAGTACGTAGAATGAAAGTAAAAGATGTTTCCCAATATATGATTGATGCTGCAAAGGAGAACCCTAACTTGGCTCAAAAACTTCACAATGTTTTACTTGAAAGTGGTGTTGTTGCTCCTCCAAACTTATTTTCTGAAATTTATCATGAGCGGTTAGGTTCCCCAACTGAGGCCTATTTTCCAACTGAAGAAAAAGATGAATTTAAACAGGGAAATGTGCAGCTAGAAACTAAGGTTGATGATAATCAAGGTCCTGCTCTATTTTTGCCTCCTTTGCCTCACCACAGAGTTCATCCCAAAGCAAAACCTAGCAGTCAGCTAGAGCATTCTAAGCCTGTTGAAGGTTTAGGAATCAGCCTTCCTCTTGATTCAAGGGAAGCTGCTGGACAGCACATACCATCTCAGGTAGAAGCAACAACTCAGGTAAAGTATGGGAAGAATGTCCCGGTTGCTGCGGCTGCTGCTGCTGCTGCTGTTGTTGCATCTAAAATGGTAGTTGCTGTGGCAAAGTCAAGCACCGACACGAATCTCGAGATACCTGTAGCAGCAGCTGCTACTGCTGCAGCTGTTGTAGCAACCACTGCTGCTGTCAGTAAACAGTATGAGCAGGGTAGTCGAAGTGATGGAGATACAGAGAGTGCTGGTAATGAGACCAAGGGTAGTGGTGATGGAGAGCATAATGCTTTAGGAGCAAACTCAGAAGGCGAGAGAAAATCTGATAGATCAGTGAGTAATGATAGCACAAAGTCTGATTCTGCGCTAGATGATGTTGCCGAGTATGACATTCCTTGGGAGGAAATCACGATGGGTGAGCGTATCGGACTTGGTATTAACTATACATTATTCTACAAGACTCGTACAATTTTCTGTTAAATGGTGCTATTGTATTGGAGTACTTGTTTTATATTTGGTGTTAGTTTTGAAGACTTAATTGCAACTGTGTGGCATATGTTTGCAGGATCATATGGGGAAGTGTACCGAGGTGATTGGCATGGAACTGTGAGTTTCTTATCTTCATGAACCTAATCAACTGTATTATCTATCATTCTGCATATGTTTTGCATCTTTCTTTTATTTATATGTTATTTTTTGTTTACAATGAAATGTGATCTGTTAAGGCTTCACTGCTGCAATTGCACCTGTGTATATGCAACTGCGACGGATTATAAAATCTAATTTTGTTGATTGAATGTGTTCCAGTTATTCTTGGGATTGAGATTCATTTTAGCCTGCACCAAATTTTCATCATTCTTATACCCACGTTTACTGTTACCTTGACTACCTCTCCTTTATTGTTGTCAGTATTTTTATGGGTAGTTTATTATTATGCTGTAGGTTTTAGATTTTTTTATATATATTTTTAGCATGTTTCCGCTCTTTGATTTGTAGGAAGTTGCTGTAAAGAGGTTTCTAGATCAAGATATCTCCGGTGAATCACTTGAAGAATTTAAAAGCGAGGTATAAGTCAGCTCTACTTCCCCACAGTTTTCTTCTTTTGCAATTTCTACTCTTTTATGCTTCCAGTTGATTATTGATTCCATTGAGAGCAAAGATTACAGATAGGTCTGGTCAGTGGATAAGAAGATCAATAGAGGTTTTAGTGAGAAAAGTGGGTCAAATAGAAGATAGTCCAATTAAATGGGTATAGGAAGACCTAAGAAAACTATAGGAGAAACCATTAAAAAGAAATTACTTTGAATGGTTTTAACTTTTATTGAATTTGTTTTTTTTTTTTATATAGATCCCAATGGCTTACATAGATCCATGTAGTCAAGCCCACCTACTAGGATAAGACTTGATGGTTATTGTTGTATAAAATTTTATTTCCCATGTTTAAAGGGACAAGCCTGGAGCAGTGGTAAAACTGTTCCTTTGTGACTGAAAGGTCACGGGTTCGAATCCGAGAAACAGTTTCTTTGCAATTATGCAAGGGTAAGATTGCGTATAAGGATTGCCCTCATCCTATCCTCGCTTGTCGGGGTTTGATGGGGAGTGGTGGTTTTGGTCCTACAAAGGATTCTACTTTGGTTACGACACAATAAACTCAAAATGACTTTGAGATGGCTTTCTTCTTGAAGATATTCTAGAGATGTATCCCAGTTCCGAAGTTTTGGTCCATTGGAGTATCTTTAGGGCGCTATCCTAAAGTATTTTTCCTTTATTTCTCATGTCATATTCGGAACGTTAGTTGATTTCAGATAATTACCAAAGTGTCTTTTGTAAACTATACTAAACTAAAGTATTAAATATTTGGAGATTTCTCTCACCTCAATTCATCAAATTATCATGTTTATCTGAACATGACAGGATTTAAATTTAAAAACTATCAAATTGAACCATCTTCCATTATCTTTTGTGATCAAGAAAAGTTGGAAAATATTGAAACTAGCTTGCATGACTACTAGCTATATGGTTGTTTTGTTATCCCACCTTCTCATTTACTGTTGAGATATATAGTCTCACATTGATTGTATGGGCAACTAATTTGGCCTTTATAAGGCCTTGGGAACTCCCACCCTTTGAGCTAGCTTTTGGAGTGGTGTATTCTAAGGTTCTTTACATGGTTCAAAACCACCACCCACATAAGTAAATCACAAAAAAAAAATAAAAAAAAAATAAAAAGCACAAAAATGTTGAGATATATAAAACCATTAATGTAGCCTCACCCAATACCTTAAGCTTTTGGGTTGAATTGGTTCTTTACATTTACATATATCTATATGGTTCCCTAATAAAATTTTGAGTAGTAATTCATGCTGTGACATATTTAGATGATTGAAGTGCTTATTTAATTTATGATCTAAATTGCAATAGGTCCAAATAATGAAAAGACTGAGGCATCCAAATGTTGTGCTTTTCATGGGAGCTGTAACGCGACCTCCAAATCTTTCAATTGTTACCGAATTTCTTCCGAGGTAACTTGAAATTCTTCATTTCCTGAGCTTGATATGAGTCTGTTGTATTGCAGATTTGCAATTTTTTGAAAGTTGGTATTTGCTAGCATTACCAGTGTAATTAAAGAAATAGACAAATAGTTGTTATGTTCTATGAGGCAAAAGAATAATGCTATTTCTACCTAAAATGCTTTCTGAATCAGTTTGCCTAACGATGTGGCATATGCTGTGAAAAGCAGAAAATGCTTCTTGGACAGGAATAATTATAAATCCAATAAGATATTTTGGTAAAATAGTACTTCTCTTAAATGCATCTAGCATATGATTTTTATGAGAAAAAAATTTGTTATTGTGTGCAATCCATTCGATGTTGTAATATATGAAATTTCTTGCTGTGAACTTACGAAGTTGAAGATAACTATAGGCATGTATTTGCAAATGTTACATGTTATAGATTTAGAATGAACTGTTTCTGATGCTCGTTAGATTGATAAAAAAAATGTCAGAAATGTTAGATTACTGAATTTTGTGTACCGTAGTTAATTGATTTCGAAACTCAAAATTTCCAAGGGTATTTATTTCATTTGATTAATGTCTTTGTGGAGGACAATATTTCTTTATTCTTCTAATACTGAGATGTAGATAATCTTTTGCAGAGGGAGTTTGTATAGGTTAATTCACCGACCTAACAGTCAATTAGATGAACGAAGGCGGTTGAGGATGGCTTTGGATGCTGTAGGGATTTTGTTGTCTTTAAAAGCAATGCAGCTTCATTCAGCAAATTATTGCTATAATAACTGGTGAATCTCATGATATAACCTGTCTCTTCTGACTATTCAGGCTCGAGGAATGAACTATTTGCACAACTGCAATCCAGTGATAGTCCATCGTGATTTGAAGTCCCCAAATCTTCTTGTTGACAAAAACTGGGTTGTAAAGGTAGTAATTGAATCTTGTGATTAATGTTCCTTGATGGTGTGATGAGGGCTATTTGTCGATGTGGTGTGACTTTTTTCATGTTGAATGAATAGGTATGCGATTTTGGCTTATCACGCATGAAGCATAGCACATTCCTTTCTTCCAGATCAACTGCAGGAACAGTAAGCTATCATAAATTTTTGGTCCTTTGTCCAACAGCTGCTGTAAAATCTGTCCCTTTGGATTTTTTGATTCCTTCATCCTCTTGTTTGGTTGTTCATGTTGTTACATATCTTAAATGAAGTCATGCTATATATATGTACACACCCAAATCCAGACATTTGCTATATCTTTTAACAAATAACTATATTTTGAAGGCCAATAATTTTCTTCCGTATAAATTTTAAAAGTACTCTGCCTGGTTCCTTTAGGTACTGTGGTTTTGGAGCTCCTAATGTGGGCATTGTTTATTACATCCATTTTCTTGCATTATCATTCTGTTGTCGGCATTGACGAAAGACAGCTTCAAACTTGGATATATTAGTTACTTAATTATGTATAATGTGTTTCAGGCTGAGTGGATGGCTCCAGAAGTGTTGAGAAATGAACTTTCAGATGAAAAGTAAGCTTTGTTATTCTTGGTATTTGTTATTTTGCCTGTGGGAGAGGAAAGGAAGGTGTTTTGAAGATCCTTCCCTTCTTGCCACTCTTCCTTTACTTAACATTGCCATAGAATGTATGACTAGCACACTGTGCTTGCAAATAGAAATTGCAGGTAAAATATATTTTATGTAGATTTCATTTTTATAATAGGTAGGTAAGACAAACTCGTTCAAATTAACATATTCTGAAGATCAATAGACAATTTAATAAATTTATGTCAACAAAATTGGATATTTAACTACAAATGCTATGTGGAAGGTTCTATAATGTAGAGTTCAGAAGCTATGGGTTTTAGGGCTTTAAATTGAAGAAGAATGTATTTGAGGTTGAGATAATGAATTAGGGTATGGTCTTGGATGTTGCATGAGGGATCAGTGGGCTAATTAAAATTTATTTAAAAAATAAATAAAAACATGAAGTCGCCATCAATTTTTGCTCTTTTAATTTTATTTATTTATGCATTTTTATTTTGTTTTTTTAGCAACAAAGGCTTTATACTTAGTCCCAAGTGTCTTGTGTATTTTTCATGCGCTAACGCGTAAGGATTAGTTCTTTATATGGGAGGAAATGAGGAGGAAGTAGCAATGACTTCTCTAATGCGGGATTTAGAAACACTCCAATGACAATGGGCCAACTTTTACCCATTTCTTCTCTGATGTGGGACCTAGAAACACCAGGGAAAAAATTGGTTGTTCACATTGAACGGCTTGAGTTTCGAATGATAAAGACTAAATCTAAGTTTGGGGTCTTGAAGGCATGAAAGATTCTAAGATTATTAGCATTAGGCTAAGTTAACAACTGAAATGATGAGGAAAAAGAGAATCGTGAGTTGATCCAGCAGGCCTCCAACTGCTAACCACTAAGAAAAAGAAAAGGAAGAAAACGTAGGTCACAAATCCCCAATGCAGTCCAACTCTCACTGTTAGTTATATTATTAAAAACAGTCATGGCCTCGCACCAAACAACTTAAAATTTTTGTGAGAGTTGATCCTTGACAGTAACTTAAATCTGAATTAGTCAAGGGAGATATATTTTTATACTTTCAAAGCCTTATGCTTATTTTAAAAAGGCTTATGACTTTAGCTACTAGGACTAGGACTCTCAAGATGTATAAGTTATTTGGCAATAAATCTTGTTCCCTTTGACACTTGAAAATACCTGATAATAGAATTTCCCATATGAAATCTGACATAAAATTCTTTGTGGGGTTCATCTGAAAGGAAGATATACATTTGCACATATTATAGTACATTCTACTCTTTTAATAACCTGAACATCAAACCATAAATATTAGTTTTAATTTGATTTAGCATTGCTTCACAAGATTAGTTAGTTGGTTTTTATTTATATTTTGCCTACTTTTTGATAATCCAATTTGGAAGTCTAAAACCCCACTGAGGTTAAGTCTCTTTCCTTAGATGGCAGCATTTAATAGGATTAATTTCTAATGGTGTGTTGGCAGATATTAAATAGGATTATTATATATCAGGCTGGTTCCTTTTATTTTCTTTCTTTTTTTAAAAAATAAAAAGATATTGAAATTTTGGAAGGCCCACGGGTTGGGCCTAATCCATAGGGCTTCATAGGCTTTTGGCTCATGTATGCTATTATTTTGTGGGTTTTTTTGGTCTTGCGGACTTTTTAACCCTAGCCCACACGGGCTATGTGGGGTAGTTGGCCCATGACAGCTTAGAAGGCTTCCCAGGAGAAAAGAACCTAAAATTTTCTGGCATTGCATGGTTTTTTGCTTTTCTGCATGTATTTGGTCAAGTAGAATGCTTGGGTTTTCAAGCGTGTTTGTTTGTCCTTTGATATGTTATGAGTTGAGCTTTTTTTTATGATCATTCATTGGTGTTCTGAACATGATTATTTTAGGGAAGTCTTCTTGATTGATATGTCATATACAGATTGCAGAGAACTTGGGCAGCTCTGTTTATTGCAATCTTCAAACTCCTTAGGCTCACTTTTCCTAGGAGGATTTTTGTAATCCCTTTCTTTTCTATTTAATAAAATTTCTTCTTTTACCAACCAAAACAGAAAAAAGAAAGAAAGAAAAAAACCTGTTCACTAGCTGAATCCTCTGAAGTCTAGAGTTTAAGGGAAAACATGGATTTTTCTTTTCATGTGTAATATTGTTCTGTGGCTTCCTTATCTCAAATCTATCTTCTCATTGGCTTTGCCACTTTATGCTTTTATGATGATAATAAGTTGTGATTTACTTTGTAGGTGTGACGTTTATAGCTATGGGGTCATATTATGGGAGCTATCTACTTTACAGCAACCCTGGGGAGGAATGAATCCAATGCAAGTTGTTGGTGCTGTGGGTTTCCAACATCGCCGTCTTGACATTCCAGATGATATCGACCCAGCCGTTGCAGATATTATCAGACAATGTTGGCAGACGTGAGTGAGATATGATATGATATGATTCAAATGTTTCGTTACAAATAGATGCAGAGCTTATGAATGTGATATTTTAAAGGGCATAGACATACTTTTATGGTTGTGGATATGAGTTTAGTTATTACATGTAATAAACATATGCTTTGGAAACAATTTCTTTCTACATTAAGATGCATGACTAACTATGTTACATTTTGTATTATAGAGATCCAAAGTTGAGACCCACATTTGCTGAAATAATGGCCGCTCTAAAGCCTTTGCAGAAGCCAATTACTAGTTCTCTAGTGCATAGACCAAGTGCTCAGTCATCACGAGTTGCTGAAGACCCCGCAGGATAGGAAACAGTTATACAGCTAACGAATCTTTCTTTTTTTTTCTTTTTTTTTCTTTTCATTTTACTGCTTAAAATGGAGGGCAAGTTGTAGGTATTTACCAGTCAAGGTTTTCACTCCTCCTGTTCCTTTTTTTTTTTTTTTTTTTTTTTCTTGTTTTTGCTTGTTTCCTATTCTCTTCTGTAATATACAGTGCAGCCATTGTCAGGTTGTACCATTTGTTTGTACAAAATTCATTGAAAAATGTTGTAATCAGCATCTAAATTTTGATGTCCGTAAATAGTTATGAAAAAATTGTCGCTGTAACTTGAACAGAAGAAAGGATTAACAACGAGTGAAAATTGATTGCTGCTGTAATTAGTGACCATGTAAATTGGTTAAATGTGTAAAATTTTCTGTGAGCCTGTTGCTTTTGTTTTCTCTAGATTTGCACACTGTTAGAGGAAAAATAATACACATTTCCCGTTGGGACTATGTTATTATATTTTCAGCTGTTTGGGGAACCTTCTAGCTTCTGCTGGGTTGGCAATTCCTGTTATGCTTAATGTTTCATTTTTAGTATTTTCTGTTTTGTATGGTATATTTATTATATAAAGGGAGAGACAAGAACAGAAAGGTTACGGGTTTGAGTTTAGAAAGTAGGGATGAAGAGTTTTGTACAATTAAGATTTGCCCCTTTTTTTTTTCATTATATACAGGAGAATGTAACGGTGGCAACACATTCATGAATGATATCAAGTTTTCCTTTCTTTTCTCTGTTTATGCATATTTCATTTGCTTTTGATCAATGGAGATAGTTTCTTGAATTCTTCTCCCTGAGTAATTGCATTGAATACTCTCAGATTCATAGCAATCCTTTAGAATTCTACCAACCATCCTCTTTCCATATACCAGCTCAAGGGGGATTCCAACCTGCTGGCTACGAATTAGTTTTTCTGGGTTTAAATATTTTGTTTGTATTACTCAATGGCTAGAAGCTTTTCCATTTTTTTACCTGTTAAAATAGAATGAAAGAAAAAGAACCATTAAAGTATAGATTGAAGTTGTAAGGAAGTTTGAGATAAGGGAATGAAGAAAATAATGTTAGAATAATGATGCACCAACAGAAAAATAGAAAAATCAGAAAGAAACGTGTCCTATTTCTACTAGAAAAGCAGGAATCAACTCTAGTAATTTATATGTAACAAACAACTAAGGTTTTTGAGTCATATCAATTGACAGGTGCAACAAAAGGCCAAGATGGCACCAGAAACATGGATGCCCTCACATTTAGGGATAAGGTGGGGACTAGCCCCTAATTGCAATGCAACTAGTGGGATATTTCTTTTCGCCATTTTATCTAAACCAAACTTTCTTTTTTATCCTGAACATGGCTACTTTCTTTGGTTCCCCACCGTTTTTCTCCCTCCCCCTAACTAAAACACATCACATTTCTTCATTATCACAAACACAGCCACCAACACCTCCATCAAATCCTCCCCCACAGCCTCAGCCCCCAGCTTCGTCTCCACAGTTAAGAACAAATTTGAATGAAGAGTCAGTGCAAGCATCTACTAAAGCACAGCAACAGAAGCCCATCAAACCTGTCACTTCATCAACTAAGGTTGAATCCACAGATTGGATATCCACCTCCTTGACCAGACGGTTTGGGCTAGGAGCTGGTCTTGCATGGTTTGGTTTTCTTGCATTCGGTGTCATCTCAGAACAAATTAAGACTCGCCTTGAGGTTTCTCAGCAAGAGGCAAATACAAGGTTTGGTTTCCAAGTAACTGTACAAACATGTGTTTTTCTTATTTGTTTCAGCTTTGGCAAGCTTCTCCAACTTCATTAACCCCTATAGAAATTTATGACATTGAAATATATTAAGAACTTTTTCCTTTGAGTACAAAACTTATGAATGTTACAAATTCTCTAACAAAATATGGCAAAAATCCATCATTGGCACACCCTCTTTCATTCATCAAAATTATATACGAAAGGTTATACATTAGTTAGTTCTTTTAGTGATGACATTTTTGTCTTCATAGGAACGTGGAGAAGAAGGAAGAGGTGGTGCTCCCTAATGGCATAAGGTTCTTCATTATCTTTCACACTTTGTTGAAAGCTATATGAAAATTATATGCCTCATTTTTGTGATACACAAAATACCTTGAATTACAGGTACTATGAGTTGAAAGTTGGTGGTGGGGCTTCGCCAAGGCCAGGTGACTTGGTTGTGATTGATATTATGGGAAAAGTTGAAAGCAGTGGAGAAGTGTTTGTGGACACATTTGAGGGAGACAAGAAACCATTGGCTCTAGTAATGGGGTCAAGGCCATATAGTAAGGGAGTGTGTGAAGGGATAGAATATGTTCTTAAAACTATGAAGGCAGGAGGTAAGAGGAAGGTAATTGTCCCTCCCAACTTGGGGTTTGGTGATAATGGTGCTGATTTAGGCACTGGTGTGGAAATTCCCCCACTTGCAACACTTGAATACATTGTAGAGATTGAAAAAGTTTCCATTGCACCCGCTTGATGGATTAAATGCAACAAATTATTTGACCAAATCAACTTTTCCTCAAGTGATAAGCATTGTTGATAATTCCTTGGTCCAAATTGCAGGCTGCTCTGTATTTACCATATAAAATTATCCATTTCTTTTACTATTTTTTCGACGGGATTGAAAAGTAATATACATTTAAAGTATAAATAGCGCTTTCCCTAACTGAATTTTGGAGGCCATGATGGGTTATTTTTTACAATGATTTTCAAATTATGTATGTACAAGAATACTTGCAGTCCTCAACTTTGTACATTCATTTCTCTGGTTACTTGATTGAGACTCTCCAAATTCATCAAATCTTGTTATGTCGAGAATGGTTAGAAATTTCTAATTACTCATATGCATGCAAGATTTTAGTTTACATTCAAATCATAGAAACATTTATTTTATTTTATTTTATTTTGAAAACTTAGAAACATTTATTTAAACAGAGAGAAATGAGTCAAGTAGTGTTGTCCTTTACATGAATCTGATCAAGGTTGAACCGGTGGAAAAATAAAAAAAGAAAGACCGAAAGTAGTTTTGCCAAGAGAGGGAGAGACAAAAACAAGGGCAGTTTTGTTAAAAAAAAAACAAGAAAGAAAGAAGAAAAAACTAACCTCTGCTCCCAAAGCATAACAGCTGATGAAAATTTTGTGCACCTATCATCTTTAATTAAGAAATTTCGAACTCCGAGCCAAGTGTTGGGGTTACAAAGTTTCGGGAGTGAATTCTCTAATTTTCGGAGTGAATTCTCTCATGTGAAAAGTGGTCATATTATTTGATCACATCCACTCATTAGTGATGAGATAAGAGAGAAAAATGTGTATAATTTTAAAATAAGTGGTTGTGATCAAATAACATGATCACATGACCACTTTTTTCACATGAGAGGATACATTCTCCGAAAGGAATTATACTCTAGAAAAAAGAAAAAAAGAAAAAGAAAATTTGACTTGTCAATTACTCAAATTTTCTGTCGCATTCATCATTTATATAACCTATATCGTTTTAAGGGTTGTATTTTAAAGGGAAAATTTAATTTTCATATCCAGTGTGATTTTATGATTTATTACTTGATTTTTTATGATTATAAATTTGTTACTTAGATTTATTGTGCTTAAATAATTTATTATTTAATCCCATATGGTTTCAAATTTTTACTTATATTCATTGTATTTACCGAATTATATCGCTTAGACTTTTTATGGTATACAAATATTTAATTTTTCTAAAATTTATTTTATATAAGTATGATATTATAAAATAAAATTAATAATTAAATAATAAATTTTAAATTTTTTAAAATTTATTTGCATTAAATGTGAGGATATAAAATAAAAAAGAAAAAAAATTTATATGTATATAATTATAAGAATATAATTAATATTATTATTAATTTAAATTAATTTAAATTTAAATAACTGATTTATTTTTTGGTACACAATTTTAATTTATAGTATGATAATAATATAATATAAGATAAAAGTTGAGAAAAATAAAAAAATTATGTATATATAAGAACACAACCACAATGAATTTAAGTGATATATTTTTATAACCATAATTTGCGTAAGTGAAAATTTGAAAACACATTGGGTTAAACGATAAATTATTTAAGCACAATGAACCTAAATGACAAGTTTAAAATTATGATACGGGTAAAAATGAAAATTTTCCTATTTTTAAGGGTTATACCATTTATGAAGGAATACATACCCCATAATTAAATTTTCCTTTTACGTCTATCTCCTTTCAACAATATTCACCCACCTTATTTAATTAAGAGGTAGGATCTTTTGACATCAGTGTCAAATTTAAAATTTGACATCTCATCTTACAGCCGTTTAGATAAAAAAAAAATCAATGTTGTGACATGCTTACACCTCGTTAATGCTGGTAAGGAGATACGTGAAAACAAAATTTTAATTTTACAATTTATCATGATTCAATATTTAGGTTAAAGTATGAAGAAAAAAGAAAAAAAAGAAAAGAAAGGGGAGTTTGTAAGACTATTCGGAGCCGTTGGCGTCCTGGCACCTAATGGTGAACAGTCAATGATCAAGTGGTTAGTGAATTCGTACATTACATTACATTACCGCCATTCTTTACTTTTATTTATCCATAAAACGATTGGTCATATTCATATATATCGTCTTCGAATCTTCTTTCTTCATCTTTGTCCTCTCTCTCTCTCTCTCTCTCTCTCTCTCTCTCTCTCAGTTTCTCTTCAATTTCACTTTAAATAATTCACAAAAACAATTTGATGAAATAGAAAAGCAAAGACAACATAATATAATATGGGTACTGTCATTGATTCCCACTTCCTAGCCCTCACTGCCATTGTCACTGTAATCCCTTCTATTCTTTCTCTTTTTCTCATTTACATATTTATTATGTTCTTCTCATCTCAATCATATATACACTTATTTATTTAATTTTGTTTTGCAGATTGGCTACCAGTTTCTGTTTTTCGTCGTCACTGCACTTCTCAAATTCGACAAAGTCACTGATTTTGCTGGTATCTTCAGTTTAACCTTTTTTTCCTTCACTTGAAAAATTTTATTAGCAGTAATCTGTTGACAAACTATGTGGTGTTTTGTTCGTATAACTATGCAACAACCAATTGCGTATTCAAATTATTATTTAATTAATTCTTCCTCTTTGAAGGAAGTACAAACTTCGTTATACTTGCTATATTGACCCTGTTGCTCAAAGGTGCCTGGCATTTTCGACAGGTAACAAAACTTTCCATTTTCTTTCATTGTCTTTTTTTCATTTTGGGATCATTACCGAGTAAAATATAACTTTTTTAAAAAATAAAATAAAAAAATCCTCATCAATGATAAATTACTCTTTTCAGGTAGTCCTGACTTTCTTTGTTGTATTATGGGGTCTTCGCCTGGGGATTTTCCTCTTATTCAGGTATGAACATGATCGATATATCACTGCCGGTATAAAACTGAATGGTGTCTTGTTTGGTTTTCTTATGATTAAAATCTGAAAACTTTGGAGTCTGATAAAGTGGCGGCGGTAGGGCTTATAAGGTTATAACTTCTTGTAAAGTATGTCATTTATTTCATTCAAACTCCAAGGGATAACCCCCCTTGTACCAGCCATGTATCACATACCATTCGAACCGATCTCATTCCAAGTCCTTTTTCTTTTTATTCATTACCCTTACTTTACTTCGGTAGGTGACTTTTTGACCCTTATAACCTTTCATTAATAATTAATTATTAAATTGACCTTCATTATAAACTATTTCAAAAATTTAACCCCCTCAAAAAACATAACATCAATCTGCCCCTGTTTGACCGTTGACCACCAAGCCTACCCGGGTACACCCCTCCCTACCCGGGTATTTTTTGAAAATTTTTGCCTACCCGGATAGGGAGGAGTGTACCCGGGTATTGTTCTTGGAACTGGGAAATTGCTTGAATTATTTACCCGGGTAGGAAGTGGTGTACCCGGGTAAATCTTCATCTTCATTCTAAGTCATAAGTTTTTGCACACGCACATCTGGGTAAATTAGGTTTGCACCCTGCTGCTCTCGTTTCTTCGAAATTTTAATGGCAAACTCATCCTTTCCGGCCTTCTCAAATCCTGACAAAAGGGTAGTGTAGGTAAAAACATCAGGCTGGACCCCTTTCTCCAGCATTTGGGTTTTAAGCTCCAATGCTTCCCCCAACAAGCCACCTCTAGCATAAGCTGATATCAATGAATTGTAAGTTACACTGGTAGGGTAAAGCCCATTACTTTCCATCTCTTTAAGAACCTGCATAGCCTCCTTGGGGCGTCTGGACTTGCCAAAAACATCCAATAATGCAATATATGTAACCTTGTCAGGAGCGAATCCCGCTAACTTCATCTGGTCAAACAGGTGGACAACTTCTTCATACAAAGAACCGCGACGACAACAACTAATAAGTGTATTAATGAATGTACAAATTAATAAGATTTCTCGTTTAATTTAGCATGTAGTCCTCCTAGTTATCACTGGACATGGAACTTATTTCATGTGTGTGTGCAAAAACTTATGACTTAGAATGAAGATGAAGATGTGGAGATTTACCCGGGTACACTCCTCCCTACCCGGGTAAATAATCAAGCAATTTTTCAGTGCCAAGAACAATACCCAGGTACACCCCTCTCTACCCGGGTAGGCAAAAAATTTCAAAACATACCAGGGTAGGGAGGGGTGTATCCGGGTAGGCTTGGTGGTCAACGGTCAAACATGGGCAGATTGGTGTTATATTTTTTGAAGAGGTTAAATTTTTGAAATAGTTTACAATGAAGGTCAATTTGGTAATTAATTATTAATAAAGGGTTATAAAGGTCATAAAGCCTCGGTAGGTCCTGTATGTATGTTTCTGTCTTCAACTTTAGTGGAGTTGCTTCTCACCGATACACTCAGTTGCACATCCTCTTGTATCGAATATATTAGTTTATCTTTGCAATCTTTTCCTTTATGTCTTCTTTCTTTTTAATCAGATTTCTAATTCTATACAAAAAATATTTCCGTAGTACAAGTTTTATTATGGGAAATAAGAAAAGAATAAAGACCATGATAGGTGTTCTGGTCTAGCACATTGGGCCACTCAAAAGGTGTTGAGATATATAGTCTCACATTGGTTGTATGTCCAACTAATGTGGAGTTTATAAGCCTTGGGCACTCCCACCCTTTGAGCTAGCTTTTGGGGTGGTGTATCCCAAGGTTCTTTACATGGTATCAGAGCCTCGGTGTACCGGGTTCAATCCTCGCCGCCCCCCACTTTCTCTTGTGGCGTTTCTTAGCACAGGTAGGCTGGGCCTGTTGCATTGTCCACTCTTCAAGTCCAATGGGCTCTCGTGTAAGGGGGCGTGTTGAGATATATAGTCTCACATTGGTTGTATGTCCAACTAATGTGGAGTTTATAAGGCCTTGAGCACTCCCACCTTTTGAGCTAGTTTTTGGGGTGGTGTATCCCAAAGTTCTTTACAAAAGGCTCAATTTATCTCCTTTACTAAAGGACATATGTCCTCTATATACTTGATTTCCCCTCAATTTTCCCATGCATACGTGCCTTTCTCACGTGAGGGGTCACATTGTTGCATATCACAACGGGGTCCATCGGGTAAAATGGTTTTGGCACACCCTATCCATGCCGGGAGAATCTTCTTCCCACTATAAATGCCTCACTCCTCCATCGAAGAGGCATCTTCATAACCACACTCACTTTTATGCTGTCACTCTTCTACTTTGCAACTGGATATAGCCAAACTGTGCCCTTAGCACCTATCCCCTTGATTCTCAACCTTGCTTGAGATTTTAAGCAGTTGATCTTCAATTCGAGCTCTAGTACGCCATATTAGTGCCTCATCCAATCACTATTATATTGTCATATTTCACCCTTTGAAGGAAACAGCTTCTCCTCTTACTCACTCTCTAGTTCAATAGGATTATCATATTGAATTGTTGATGTTTATTCTTTTATATTGCCTCTCAATAGTATGCTTTTTATGTTGGATACTGTTATTGAGCATTTTCTAACATATTGCATTTCCTGTCCAATTTTTGTTCAATCAGAGTATCATAACAAGGCACCATAGCCTGTTAAGAAAATTATTTATTTAATTTTTTTCTGTTGAACATGTCAGTTCTTCCCAATTTTTCATGCTCATTATATATTTCCTTCAACATTAACATGCAATTTAATGTCAAGACTGCTAATTATCAGAGTGTTGTCTTTGTGAATGTCTTCTTGTTGATCTAATTTCCGAATATCCTCATCAGGATTTTGCAGTGGGGAGAGGATCGACGCTTTGATGAAATGCGTAGTAATTTGGGTAGATTGGCCATATTTTGGATATTTCAGGTTTCTTAGAATGTTCTCATTTTGCTTTTAGATTTAGCATACTGGTCTTGGTTTTTTTGGAAGTGTTCTCATTTGATGACTTATAGAGTTACTTTAATTTTTTTGCAGGCTGTCTGGGTGTGGACCGTGAGTTTACCTGTTACACTCGTTAATGCAAGCAACAGAAATCCTTTTCTGCAGGCTGTGGATGTAATAGGGTGGATTATGTGGTCTGTGGGTTTTATAATTGAAGGTACAGCAGATCAACAAAAGCTACGTTTCAAACAATCTTCCGAAAATAGAGGGAAGTGGTGCAATGTTGGACTCTGGAAATATTCTCGTCATCCTAACTATTTTGGTGAGGTTAGTGCTGTTATTGCTTTCAAGTGAAGATATTTTGGTTGGTGCAGCAGCAGCCGAAACATCCTTCATTCCAGGATTATCCTTTGTTTATGTAAAAGTTTAATATTGTGCCTTCTAGCTGATTTTGTTCTTATTGTGATTCAATTTGCTTTGTAGTTGATTGTGTTCTTGTCCTTGCTTAAACCAAGATTCATTTTAAATATTAATTTGCAATTTTTTGTTGTTGTTGTTGGTTTATATGATTTGGGATCAAGTGCTGCTTTGGTTGTCTTTACAAAATCTTACCCCAAAATTGCATTTAAGCTAATACTATCATTATGTTGGGGGGGGGGGAATATCAGAGAGATAAATAGGGTTTACTGTTTAGTATAAGAGGTGAGAGGAATAAATGTTGACACTCGGGCTAGTTGAGTAATCTCCTTTCTTTCGGGAGAAAAAAACTCTTGGAAGTAATCCTTTAAAAATTAACCAGAAACGAAAAAATAAAAATAAAAATGGGAATTTCAATGAATTCCCTTGTGCAGTTCTGAGGTATTTCAAAACCCGTTATACATAGAAACTATTTGGAAAATCACTTGCTACATTTATAGTAATTTCTGTCGAACTATGCATATGATGGTTGCAGAGAAATGCCAGAATAAGCTATCTATTTACATTGCTGCCTCTATTATAGGATAAAGTGATTCTTTTCCTCTAAGAGGGGTTTCAATGTTCTAATAATATTTCTTCTTTTATTGAAAACTAGTATGAACAATTAATGGAACTTCATGAATGCTTAACTCAGATATTGCTTTGGTGGGGAATTTTTGTGGCATCTACGCCTGTATTGAAGGGTGCTGAATGGCTGGTAATCATTGGTCCAATCTTTCTGACATTGTTGCTTCTTTTCATTAGTGGCATTCCACTGCTTGAGGTTTGCTTCTTACCTCTGATTTGCTCAAAATTTTGCTGCAATTTTTTGGCTTTCCTGATGATGAATTGCATAATGGACGCAGGAGTCAGCAGATAAGAAGTTTGGAAATGTGGATGGATATAGGATATACAAACGTAGAACCAGGTTAGTTTACCTCCATGTTATTATTTGCTTTCAGTGTATCATTAAGGAGAAACAACTAAGCCAAATCATTGTTTCAGCCCTCTGTTCCCTTTGCCACCATCAGTCTATGGAATCTTACCCTCGTGGTTCAAAACAACTTTTCTCTTTGAATTTCCGCTCTACAGTCGTAATCTTCCTCAAGAAGAACTAATCTGGTGAGAAGCGATTTCAATTCCACTTACATAACATTTTTTTGGTTTGAAATTTACTTTGGATTTCATGAACACGGGTATTTTGTATTTATCTGATTCTGAATTAATATTCAACATTGTGGTAATGGCTTATCAAGTAACATTTATTGTAAAGAAGGAAAAGTAACTTTTGAGATTCGCACCTTGGATTTGATTCATGACTGTTCTATGGATTAGAATATCGTAAGCCCTGGATTATATTGGAAGCATAGATCAACTCATTAAGAACAAGATAACCATGTTTTAAGCTTGTTGGTTATTGCATCCAAATGTCTCGGACCAGCAACCTGGATACGGAAGCTGACCATGCATATTTTGTAAAATCTGGTAGTTAATTTACCACAATTTTATGTTGAGAGCCTTTCAATCATGTCACTTACTTCTGCTCCAACGTGATTATCTGAGCCAAACACAACAGGAATAAAAGAGGAAAAGACAATCTTAAAAAGGTCATCTAGTCTTTGTGCTTGGTACTTTCCTATTTTTGTTTTCTTGCGTTTAAATTATAAACTAGATTCAGAGCCTTGCATGTGTATATTGTCAAGTGTCTGACTATTATAATATGGAATTGATTATGACGGTCAGATTTTATTGGCTCTGAAAGATCTGGAAATGCTTTAAAATTCCTTGTTGCATCTATTAATTGTAGGTGTCAATAAATGGTATTAAATTCTTTTCTGTCTGTGCAAGGTGTAGAACAAGCAGGGGGAAAAGCAGTGATGCCCTGAAAATTGGCTAGCACTTGATTCTTTGAACTTGTTTGATTCCTTTCTCAGTATAATTTATAATGGTACTTCACACTGAAGTTGCAGCTGCCATTGTCGCGTACCATGGTTAGCGATGTTGTTAGGGGTTCGTTCCGGGTGCCTTGTAATGCTGTTGCAGCTTTTCTTTTACTTTTTATCCATTTGGTTGTTCTCTTATTAATATACACATACGATATGTTGTAAGTACTATGGTTTGTGCAGGTAACTGATGGAGCACCATGTCTGTTTCTCATATTATTTCTTCTATTGCAATTATCAATTTAGACAGGCAGCATGCCAGCATCAGCATATATTGAAAACTAATGTTTTGCAGATGTTAGTTTTGTATTTTTTTTCTTTTGAAATCCCTCTTCGAATACAATATAGTTATAAATTAACTGAATGCTTCTGTCTATCATGCATGTGTTAAGAAAACCACCATCTTTCATTGGGCATCTGATTACTTTTGGCTAACAATGAATTTCTTGATGGTTGTTTAGGATTAGAGAGACATTGTTGTTAGTTTTATTTCTATCTCGCATTCAAAATTCAATTTTATTCCTTTCAAATCGTGCAAAGTTACTTGTCAAGTAATACTTCTCCATGTGCGCGTTTGTCTTAAAATCTTGAGAAAACCCTCAGAGGACGAGTTAGACCTAAATGTCATAATCAAGCAGTGTCATAAAATAAGAGATTCCACTGCATTACACAAATGAATGAATATATTTATCAGTAATTGTATATACCAAAAGAAATAGATTCTTTCTTCTTTACAAGTTCAATAAATAATAATCATGAAACTGCATGCGACATCTTTGATTATTAGTGCTAGGGTCACAACAGCGAACTCACAGCCAAGCCTCTCCAAGCCACTGACTAGAGGGCTCATTTTTTTTATTACATCTGCTGCTACACCGTCCATACAAAATACTTTTGATACTTCAACTCAGGTCCTCACGAACACTTCTCATCATTTGACAAGCATTCAAAATTCAAACCCAAATCACCCATTTTTCTATACACATAGCAGGGCATTGCTCCTCTCTGATGGAATAACTCATTCTCGGGTGCAATTTCACATTGCCAAATAGATGTAATTCATCGAAATAAAAGGCATGCAGTCCTATATTTTCCTTCATAATTATTATATTTTTCTGGTCATGATGTGGTACCGTACAACATTCCTACCACTTGTCAATGTAACGAAGACCTCCTAAAACCTGAGGTAAATGACACAAGTAACGAGACATCACAACACAATCATACTCCTCCAGTGTTATTAATGTTCTCCAATGAGATCACGGCACCAGATCTACCCTCATTTGATGGGCCAGAATGTGATATTAGAATATAAATCACCCATAAATGAAGGCAAACAAGGTAAATCAAAGCCCATAATTTTGCCGTTGAGTTCCTTTTCAAAAAAACAGCACCGGCCACAAAAATATAATCTAATTGGTGAAGTAATGATCCCAGCTGCCTCTTGCCAGAACGAATTCTGGCTTTTAACATAGGCTTAAACTTTGAATTAGAAAGCTCCCATAATCCTGATTCTAAGTCACTTGATGAAGAAGCAGGATTCATATCTGTTGCACCTGATGCTGACGTGTTCTCATCCAACAACCTTGACACTGCCTGCCGAGTTGATTAAGAAAATTGAAAATCAAGTATATCATGATTTCAAGAATTAGTATCATGTCCTCAGTAGAAAGCATACCTCGATTCTGAATGTAAGACTTGCCTTCTCAGAGGAGAGCGACTCAACCTGTTAACACAATAAATTGTTTGAAACAAGCCAACTAGTACGTTCCTAATTCTGTATTTGAATGAATTCTCTTAAAAAATTTTGTTTGCATTTTTGAATTTTCAAAATCAGATGCGTTTAGTTTTGGTGGTCATTCTGGTTTGATTGCACAAGAAGTTAGGGAATTTAGTACAAACTGCTAATGTTTTCAGTCACCAGTTGAACTGATCAGACTGGCTGGTCCAGTCTGATTTTAAAACAGTGAGTCATGATGAGCATTTGCCAAAATATTACCGCCAACTGGATATATGAAAAACAGACCTTGGCTTGTTTCTGTATCAAATGGTCAGTCATTTGATGAAGCCTTCGCTTGAGCTCAACTTCAACTTCTGTTGGTTCTTCTATCTCCTTCCTTGTCATTTCAATGTCAGCTTCCAGATTCCTTGCCTATAATGTACCAGTATATTAAATAATTTGACAAAAAAAAGGAAGCCATATTAACTAGACAGGCTCAATGCCAAAACTTAATGGGTGGAGTTAAATATGTACTAAAGCGGGTAGAAAAAAAAATATTGATTTAATTTAATTACAATAACATGACGTTTCATTTTAAAATTCCAAATTTGAATGAAAACTGACTTAAAATTTTGCAATATATTTAAAAATTAGAATTCAAGTGTCTCCTTTGTAATTGATTTAAATATGAAAATTTCTGCTCACTTTCAATTGTAGTTAAGCGAAACATTTCAGATTTTAAGAAAGTAAATATTGGACACTAAATGGGGAAAATAGTATATAGATAACAGGACAAAATAGTTGGGTAAATTTTAAAAGCAAGAAAAAGGATGCTCAACATGCAAAAATTACAAGGGAATACAACATAATGGAGAAACTGGAATATACAAGTATTATTAATTCGTAAAGCTTACTTTTTCCTGTAGTTGTGCAACTTTATCATTAATTAAAGAACGCTCTGCCTCAAGAATTTCTCGTTCAAACTCAACTCCTTTTGAAGCTAGCTACAACATCAGCATAGATAAACAGATGTCAAGAATATCCTACTAAAAGACAGTGACCATAGAATAGAAGTTTAAAAAGGAAATATAGGATCTAACAAAAAGAAGATACCACAGAGACTCCCTCTTAAGCTCCCCCCACTCAAGAAAAAGTAGACAAAAGAAACCAAAATATTTACGGATCAGTTTCAGCAAATAATAGTATAACTTACTTGATTTTGTGAAGCTCCCGTTTGATGAGGATTCTTCAAGCTCCTTCTGAGTTCTACAAAAGGTAAAAGGATCAACTTATTAACAGACTACATATTTCAACATAATCCTGACTACTCCAGCACCCTAAATAACCAATTTGCAACAATACCAAAGTTATCAAATGCGGATTGTGGCATGTCGCGGTCAACCCCGAAAAATGCTATAGCGTTATAGCGGGTTGCGAAAATAGTGCAATAGATATATGACAGAAATAATGACAAAAAGAAACATTTTTTAAAGGCAGAGATAGCAGAAGTGACAGAGAGAGACACAGATAGACTAAAAAACCCTTAAAAAATTTCTGTTACACATTTAAATTTAGGACAAAATTGACATTTTGCCTTATGACAGCAATATGGCCTCAATTTGCGATTGCAATGGCCGCTGTTGCGTTCCGATGCGGTGGGGAGCGGTTTCTTGCGGTGAGACACAACAACACCCATACGGCGCAGCTCGCGGCGCTATTGCGGCGCAATTAACTACCATGAACAATACATAATCTAATTTTCCTGATGAAAGATAAGCATAGCTATCATTGGCCAGCATCAGCAGAAAGAAAGACGGTACTAATACATATTTTTGATTGAAGATATTCTTGGGCAAGACAAGGGGGCATCCTAGTTGATATCGTTCCTTAAATCCATATAGCAGCCTAGTATAACTTTGTTTCAAACCTAAAGGGTCTTTTTTGATCAACATACTAACCATCTACTCTGTCCAAAACATTGAATTCCTTAAACTCATGAATATTCACCAATCTATTAGATCATTGAATATACCCAAAGTAATCATTATGTATATCTTGTTCATTAAGCTTGAGAAATTATCCATAGTTATAGGCCTATACTAATCTTTTGCCATTTTTATTAAAAATTCAGACTAATCTTTAATGTTATAATATATGTCCAAGCTAAAACGAGGGAGGTATAAACCTAGGTAGGTAATGAGTCCCATGAAAAGGCACTGTTATCTTTAGGAATGAAATAATATCTGACAATGAGTCAATGACTTTGAAAAAGGGCAGTACCTTCTTGAACCAATTCTTTTGATACAAGCTGCTGTCTGAGATCTGCTACTTGTTTAACCTGGTCCAAAAACGTATTATAGTTAAGACACAATAATTTAGCATTGTTACCCAGATATGTGGATGGCCCAAGGATCAATAAAGCATAGGAAATAGAGCAAAGCAAGCTGTTTGGTTAATTCAATTCCAGTACAAGGATCTCATTCTAATCCTTCAATAGGCTACATTTACAATCAAAACAACATATTTAGGGAGTTGATTGATCAATTCAGTTTAGTTTTTTAATTTTCAGATGCAAGAGTATTTTAGTATTTTTTCTAGACACTGTCAGAGTCAGTAACAGAGGTAAGGTCTTAAGATACTTGGCCCTTATCAGCTTTAATTACAATGTCAGTTTGATCATATTAATCATCTTATTAATTAACTTTTGGGAAATCATAAATCCTCAACAAATTAGGACTAAAGTCCAAAACCTTGAGTACTGGCAAGTTTTTTTATTCAATAATTTAAGAAATTTGTCAATAGATACTGGCTACAAAGCTTATATTATGCGGAGCATGTGAAGTGGAGGGAAGTCATCTAAGAACCTATACATACCTCTACTTCAAGGTTCCACTGCACAGCTGCGAGGGATCTTGCAAGATCAGCATTAGCAGTCTGCAACCAGTCCAGACATTCATCAAAACAAGCTTATCTAGGTATTTGTGGAACCTAAACATCATGATAAATTATTTACTGAAAGAGGTAGTAAGTTATACATCATACAACACTACTATTTGGTTTAAGAAAGTTAAATAAACATACCTCCAGTTTAGCTAAACGTGTAAGAACTTCCATTCTAGTATTATTATGTTTCTGCTTTTCTAGCTCAACAGCGTCCATTGTTTCCATCGTAGTGCTCTGAAGCTCTGAAGCCTGAAGGCAGGAACAAAGAGGATTAGATAAATAACCAACAGATTGAAAAAATTAAGTGCCACCAAAACAGTTGTCTAGACAACAATTAACTTTGAAGCAATTTCAGCTCATTAGGAGAGTTTCATATATTATGGAAACTTGAAAAGACAGCCAATTTCTCCCACCAAATCACCAAGAACGTCAAGCAGGAAAAAACATTCAAGAAATTTGTCCAAGATTATCCATATCCTACAGTAGACATCATGTTGAGCATAACCAGTACAACACATTAAAAAAGCAAAGTAGCAAACATAAAGATCAGTTTTAAGTACTGTCCTAACATTACCTCTTGTGCTTGTTGTTTAGCTCGCTCCTCAAGTATTTTCTCTAGACTTTGCTTCTCCCCCTCTAATTTGGCCACCATATTCTCCCGTTCCTTGATAGCATTTCTTGCTTTAGCCGCTGCTTCCTCAGCCAGAATCTTTTCCCTCATTTTTCTCCTTTCCTCCCTCTCATGTTCACTTTCAGAATCGGATGTTGAACCAGAATCTGTATCTGAATCAGAGCTTCGATCACTTTCCATTGAAGAAGCCCGTTTCAAATCATCAGGTGTTGAATTTCCAGAGACTGAATTAAGCCCATGCCTCCCTTTTATTGCACTTCTCAATTGACCACGAACAACATCCACTGCAATCTTAGCTTCGTGCACCTTATCGACCCCCGTTACTGGTATTGTTTCTGCAGCCAAATTTTTGTTGTCTTCCTGCAAAGATTCTGGTGGAGAAAAGTCCCTATTATAAGTTAAACGGACATCATTTTCTTCATTTGCCTTATCATTTGCCTCAACCACAAGCTTCTCAGAACAGTCCTTACTAGCATACTCCTGTCCTCCCATCCACTTACCATCGGTCTCCGATTCTACATTTGAATGCCTCTCCGTCGAGCCAGAAGAGGCAGAGTCCTTCCCATCATCACTAGTTTTTCGACTCAATTTAACTTCTTTGACAGAGTCTAACTTCTGCAAGGACCTTGAACCACTGTTACCACTTTTTGAATTCCTCTTAACATCCGATACCAATAACCCTGAAGACAAACTCTTCTGCTTCCTATTATTATTGCTCAAACCACGAGCTGCACGTGACCCGTTACTATGATTCCCCCCGGAACTAGATGCTATAGAGGGACTAGGTGAACTAAGGAGTTCAGTCCAATCAGCATCTGTGAGGGTAGGGCTAGATTTGGGAGAGAGTTTGGGTGCAGTTGATGTTGTTTTAAGCACGCTAAAATTGGAATCACTGCGTAATTTTCCATGATAGTCATTGTTCTCCGGAGGTTTCTTCTTCAATTGATCCTTCAGAGACACACCGCTCCCTGATTTGGCAGGAGCATCGATGCTCGGTTCCTCGGATCGAAGCCTCTCGTTCTTGCGAAGAGATTCAGCCGCTTGCTGATCGATCTGAAGCGACCGTTACGCAATAATATGACATCCATAAAAAAAATAAAGAGAATTAAAACATTGTAATGATGCTATAAGTTAAAATTAAAGAAGAAAATTAATGATTAGGGATCAAGAAAAATCAATAATTAATTGAACAGTGGAAAAAGAAAATGCGAAGAAGCATTGTTATATATGGACTTGCCTGGTGGAGAATGTTCTCGGCGGCTTTGAGTTTGGAGGAGATCCAATTCGCCATGGTCTCAGCGATTGAGATGTGAGGAAAAAGAAGTCACAGAGCCACAATGGGCGCGTGTTTATCGAAACGCAGCGTTTTAAGGAGTTTATGCTCGTGCAGAAGAGGAGGTAGAAGAAGACGATAATTTTCTGAGAGACTAATGGATGAAGAAGAAGAAGAAGAAGAAGATGAAAGCTGTTAGGAAGATGAATGAGAGTGAAAGGTAGACTGACATACGGGTCATGAAACATGTTTTCTTGGGCCTAATAATTTTGAGTGAATCACACTGCTTCAATTGGGTCCCACTGAGCGTTACGTTGATTGTGTCTCGACAATCCCCAACCAACTAACGGGCTTAAACATGAGCCCATGGACTTGTTACTACATCCATGACAAAATTAGTGTCATTCACTGTTTATTTGGACAATTTTGCGTCTCTCTTGTACATTCTTTAAAGAACCAAATACCGAAAAATGTATGATTTTGGCTATTTCAAGTCTAATCGAATCTTATTATGCTTATATGGGAATATGTTATAATGTTATGATTTTGGTTTTAATGGCTCTACGGAATGTTGAGCTTTTTCACTCATAATAGGTACTTATATATCTTTTATCCCGAAAAGAAAATAGCACTCATATTGCCATTTTTTATTTTTTTTGGATACATAATACTTGCCATTCTTATCAACAGAATCAGTCCGGTTGACTATTACTATAAGCTCACATTAATATATCTAAGCCAAGTAACAATAAACTTTAAAAACTCGGCAAGTTAAAAATTGAATAATGAACAGACTCAAGTTGGAATCTTAGAATAGAGAATGATTTTAGGAGAGTCACATTTATAATAGGTCTGATGTTACTTGTATGGAATTGGTTGAATAATTACTAAATCGGTGAATATATCAAAACTACAAAGAAAATTTTCAAAGATAAATAAAAGAAAAAGAAAAGCTTCTGAGTTTTTCAAGAACTTATTGGCCATCTTAATTCTACGGACTCTCTTTTTCCTCTTGCTCTTCATTTCCATTCTTTAATAGGTTTGAACTTGGCATGTTCGACCATTGAAGGGTTGTTCTCTTTTAGTGACTTCTTAAGCTGCTGCTTCTTCTTTTTCTTTTTCCAACAGATGCTAGACAGAGTAACTGGAGCAGAACTCTCCTCTGCCTTTACCTTCATGACGTCATCATGGTCATGGTAAAAGAGTAGTTTTAAAAAAAAAATCAAAGAATGTGCCTTTCTCCTAAGACCGAAAATAAATAATAATAATAATAATAATATTGTATTAATATTGATATTAATCAAATTGCACTATCTTTATATATAGTAAGTAATTTATTTATTTTTGGTTACCAAAAAAAAGTAATTTTTTTAAATAATTGAAATCATTCGCAATGAGATATTATTATTAGGTCATATTAATAAAATTTCCATTTATGAGACATCTAGACATCACTTGAAATAAAAGGGTATTTGAAATATTATTGAATCGTATTTGAATCTGTACATAGGGGTCTCTATTTATAGAGACTTCTTGACCTAATTTTGACCTAATAGGCTTGGCCCAATATAGAAGTAACGGACTAAATAAATACAAATAAATGACTACATAATTACTAATAAATGACTACATAATTACTATTTACAACACTCCCCCTCAAGCTGAGGAATAGATATTTATCATTCCCAGCTTGCTAGCAAGTTCTTGAAATCTATCCGAAGGAAGCCCCTTTGTCAATAGATCAGCTAATTGACACCCAGTGGGAATGTATGGAGTGGTAATCAACCCGCTATCAAGTTTCTCTTTGATGAAATGGCGGTCGACCTCAATATGTTTAGTCTGATCATGTTGAACTGGATTATGAGCTATACAAATAGCGGACTTATTATCACATAGCAGCTTCATAGGTCCCTCACATTTTATTTTTAGATCATCAAGTACAATTTTCAGCCACAGTAACTCACAAATGCCTTGAGCCATAGCTCGAAATTCAGCTTCTGCACTTGATCTCGCGACCACATCTTGTTTCTTACTTCTCCATGTCACCAAGTTACCACAAAGAAACATGCAATAACCAGTGGTAGAACGACGGTCAGTCACGGATCCAGCATAATCAGCATCTGTGTAGACTTCTAAAGATAGATTGCCATCACGTCGGAATAACAACCATTTACCATGAGTACCTTTCAGATACTGAAGAATTCTCTCTACTGCCTGCATATGTTTCTCCTTTGGATCGTGCATAAACTGACTGACAACACTAACAGCATAAGCTAAGTCTGGTCTAGTATGGGCCAAATATATCAATTTCCCAACTAGCCGTTGATATTGTCCTTTATCAACTGGAGGACTCTCCTCTTCATAGCCCATCTTGTGATTCTGCTCAATAGGAGTATTAGAGGGTTTACACCCGAGCTTTCCTGCTTCTTTGAGAAGATCAAGAACATATTTCCTCTGGCTGATAAAGATTCCTTTGCTCGAATGAGCTACTTCTATCCCTAGGAAATATCTCAGTTTCCCAAGGTCTTTGACTTCAAACTCAGAGGCAAGCCGTGTTTGCAGAATCTGTCTCTCCACAAAATCATCACCTGTGATAATAATATCATCAACATATACAAGGAGCACAGTAAGCTTCCCATTTTGGGAGTGCTTGAAAAAAAGAGTGTGATCTCCTTGACTTTGTTTATATCCTAAGGTCATCATAACCTTAGTAAACTTTCCAAACCAGGCACGAGGTGACTGCTTCAATCCATACAAGGCCTTTTTTAATTTACAAACTTTATTTTCTCCCTTCACAGAATCAAAACCAGGCGGAATTTCCATGTAGACTTCTTCTTCTAACTCACCATTGAGGAAAGCATTCTTCACATCAAATTGGTTTATATCCCAATTATAATGGGCGGCAAGGGATAACAAAACTCTCACTGTATTCACCTTTGCAACTGGAGCAAATGTTTCTTCATAATCAATGCCATAGGTTTGAGAGTAACCTTTGGCAACTAATCGAGTTTTGTATCTCTCAAGAGTTCCATCAGAATTATATTTTAGGGCATAAACCCATCTGCACCCTACTGCTTTCTTTCCAGTAGGTCTATCAATAACCTCTCATGTTTTATTTTTCTCCAATGCATTCATCTCCTCTTGCATGGCTTGAGCCCAATTCCTATCTTTCAAGGCTCATGTACTGATTTTGGGATTGCAATAGAGTCTAGTGCTAAAACAAAGCTTTTGTGCTGCACAGAAAGATTAGCAGAGGAAACAAACTGGGAGATAGGGTATTGAGTACAAGAGGGACATGAGGGACAAGATTTCTTGGGACAAGCTCTTTTTTCTTTTCTAAGAGCAATGGGTAAATCATCAAAATCAGTAGTAATGGGTAAGTCATCAGAAGTATTAACATCATGATCAGAAATATGAGATTCAGGACTTACCAGTGGTTAAGACAATTGAGGTTGCTGCTGAGACAATGTGGGTTGTTTCCTTCTTTCAGGTGGCATAATCTTTCGTATCTCTGGTGTACTTGATGTATCAATCACAGGAGAATCAGTCACAGGAGGATTACTCACAAGAGGATCAGACACAGGAGGAACAGACAAAGGAGAAACAGACACAGGAGGAACAGGACCAGGTGGAGGATACACTGACATAGGTAAAGGAGTAGACACTGATGATTCAAACTCAAAGAAGGGAGGTGATGATATTTCTGGTGAAGGATTCTCCCCCTGGAGATGAGGACCTTGGAAAAAGGACTCAGATTCCTGAAATGTAACATCCATAGAAACAAAAAATTTCCTACTACTAGGGTGATAGCACTTGTAGCCCTTCTTATCAGGAACATAACCAAGAAAAACACATTTAATAGCCCTAGGGTCCAACTTACTGCGATGATGTTTATGAACATGAACAAAAGCAACACACCCAAACACTCGTGGAGGAAGACTCATCATAGTTGGAATAGAAGGGAAAAAAGAAGTCATAGAGTGAATAAGACTTACATGGTCAAGTACCCGAGTGGGTAAACGGTTGATCAAGAATGCTGCAGTAAGAATAGCATCTCCCCAATAGTATTTGGGTACATGTGTCTGAAACATTAATGCATGAGCCACTTCAAGAAGGTGACGATTTTTTCTTTCAGCAACCCCATTCTGTTGGGGGTGTCAACACAAGTAAGTTCATAAATCATACCATTATTTCTTATAAATTGGAAAAAGCTATGATTAACATATTCAGTACCATTATCTGTTCTTAGTCTCTTGAGTTTTTTACCAAACAGGGTCTCAATCATTTTATAAAATTGAAAGAAAAGTTGTGGTACCTCAGACTTTTCACGCATTAAGTACACCCAAGTTACACGAGTGCAATCATCAATAAAAGAAACAAACCATCTATTTCCAGAACCATGAGGGACTTTAGAGGGACCCCAAACATCAGAACGAATAAGATCAAAAGGTTCAACACTCTTAGTAATACTAGAAGGAAAAGACACACAATGATGCTTAGCAAATTCACAAACATCACAATGAAAAGACTCAACAGATTTAGACAAAAACAATGACGGAAATAAAAATTTGAGTAAACTAAATGGAGGATGACCTAAGCGCTTATGATGAAGCCAAATCAAAGAATCAGCAGTTGATTGACCATGAGACATCAAGATGTGATTTGTTACTTTATTTGCAGGAGATTGTGACACCAGATAGTACAGCCCACCTTGCTCTTTAGCACTACCAATCATCTTCCTCGTGGCGAGATCCTGAAAAACACAATGGGTAGGATAGAAGGTTACAGTACAATTCAAATCTTTTGTAATTTTATGAATAGAAAGAAGATTCGTGGAGAGTTTAGGAACATGAAGAACATCCTTAAGATGTAAGGACTGCTGTAAGTTTATGTCACCAGATCCCGCAACTGATGTATGAGAGCCATCAACTACGGCTATTGTATGAGTTCCAATGGTAGGATGATAAGAGGTAAATGAGTCAGCACAACAAGCCATATGATCAGTAGCACCAGAATCAACAACCCAAGAATGTTTAAAATCATTACATGAAGAAAGGAAAGAATAAGTTTTGGAGCTCATACCAGTCATAGTCAAAGCACTAGTATCATATGGCTTACTCATAGAATCAAGAATGGTTCGGAGCCGTTCCAACTCATATGGACGAAATGCAGGTTGGGTCTTATTA